GCCAAAGTTTGACATTAGCATGTCAGCCTGGTAAAGCTCTGGGGAGCCGACGGGGCTCCCCCCAGAAAACTATATTTGTTTAATTAATAAATAGGAAACTATAAAACATGTTAATGATTAACCCTTAAATTGCGCATCGCTTCATATGATGCTTTGACCGACTTGCAGTAAATTGCGCATCACATCATATGATGCTTTGGAGTACTACGCAAGATTTAAACGGCCTGCTGATACACGGGGTTCACCACACCTTCATCAGGGCTCTTGTAAACAGACGCCATTTAAAAAAAAAATCATGGGCCAAATTCCCTGTTAGGGGCCTCAGTATTGAGTGAGCTACCAAGCCTGACACACACAGCATGAGCTCACAGAACTGTTGTTCAGCTTGTGACCACAGCATCGCTTAAAAATGCCATAATATACTTGTTCATGCTATTATGTAGTGATATTATTACAGAAGACCCCTGACTGTGAGAAAACTGACCAGGGTTCTGATATTAGCAGGATTGTGGTGATATTTAGCGCTGTGCTCTATGGAGGGAGGAGTAATGCTGTGGGAGGGAGGGTAGTGGCGTTGTCTTCCGACTGTGTGTGGCCACCTTTTATTGACTGCACTCACCATACCAGCTTAGTGGTTTGCTATGGTGAACACAAATGTAGATACTTATATATAATGTGTGTATAGAGGGTATAAACAGCAAGAGGAGTAGGTTGGGAGCCGCCATTTTGGTGAGGGCAGTGGTGTCGTCTGCACGATTTAACATATCTCAGACTAACATTAGTCTCCGTGGTGTAGTGGTAAGATACTCGCCTGGCGTTCCGCGAGCGCTGTCATGGGTTCGTATCCTGGCCGGGGAGGATTTACTGAGCGCAAATCCTTAACTGTAACCTCTGTTTAACGCAACAGTAAAATGTGTACTTGGATGAAAAAACGATTCTTCGCAGCAGGGGATCATATTCCAGGGACCTGCCCGAAATGCTACGCGTACTAGTGGCTGTACAAGAATGTAACAACTCTTGTATATATCTAAAAAAAAATGTTGTTTATTGGTGACCACGAAGGTCTTTGGGCACCATACCAGTTTACTTGTACAAGTATGGTGAATAAAACAGGTAGATATTTATATATAATGTGTGTATATAGCATAATAACACCACAAACAGTATTGTTGGAGGAGAAATACTAGTGCGTCTGGCCTTGAGGTCAGTAGCCATCAGCTGACTGTGTGAGTAGCTACGTCTTTGTGCCTTTACTCACCATACAAGCTTAGATGTACAGTTATGGTGAACAAAACATGTAAATACTTATATATAACGTCTGTATATAAAAGCAAAAACAGTAAGGTGGGTGGAGAATGGTGGCAAGTCAGGTGAGGTGAGGGAGGGAAGGAGTGGCAGCCAGTGGCGGGCTGCCACTGGCTGCCACTGCCACTTAGCATACCAACTTAGTGGTTCGTTATGGTGAACACGAATGTAGATACTTATATATGTCTGTATATAGTGAATAAAAGCAAAAACAGTATGGTGGGAGGAGTGGCTGGCTGGTACACGGGGGTTACTCCTCGTTACTTTTTGACTCATAATAGCAACTTAGTGGTTCGTTATGGTGAAAAAAAAAAAAGATACTTATATATAACCTATGTGTGTATATCACGAAAATAAACACGTGATTAAAAATGTGACAATGTCAGACCACGGAGGAAAAATGAAACGGGAATTTCCTTAAGGAAATTCCTGTTTCATTTTTCCTCCGTGGTCTGACATTGTCATATATAACCTATGTATATAGTATAATAACTGACAAAGTATTTGTTCACTGTTTGATGAACATAATTGAATAAACAATATGCACACCATATTTTTCAGTACAACGATGATTCACTCATTTTATTATATAAATATATCACACTACACACTATTGAATAATATTACAGGAAAAAAAAATTATGAAAAATCAATCAGACATTGAAATAATTAGGTAATTATCTCTTAGTGGCAACTCCGGCCTGACAGCTGGCGAGCAACACAGTCTGGGACGCATGCTGAGTCAGCGCCTGTTTTTTGCCAGACTTCCCCGCCCTATAGCGGGCAATATATGCCACTTACGATTTTTTTTATTATTTTTTCCATGATCAGTGAACACAAATTAACAGGTTAGGAAGAAAAGAGATTTTTTTTTTTATGCGCCTGTGGGTGTCAAATGGTATATAGCCATGCGCCATTTAAGGGTTAATAATGTATAGTAATATACAAAAATTAACATTTTTTGGCATAAATATTTTACAACTAAGATTAAAAATTTTAATACGGTATGGGTGAGAGGTTTGGCAACCATTGCCAGGTCAGCAATTCTGCCCTCTGCCTCCCTTACCACCACCACTCTCCCTGCCTCCCTCAACACCACCCCTCTCCCTGCCTCCCACTACACCACCACTCTCCCTGCCTCCCTCAACACCACCCCTCTCCCTGCCTCCCTCAACACCACCCCTCTCCCTGCCTCCCTCAACACCACCCCTCTCCCTGCCTCCCTCAACACCACCACTCTCCTTGCCTCTCCCCCTCAATGCCTCCCTCCATCAATGCCTTGGAGGTCGGTGGCATGTTGCCATGTGAGTGCCTGCCGATGCCAAAACAAACCCAATACCTACCTTCGGTAATATCAACTGCCAGACTGGTACACGAGGCTCTAGATACCGGTCTCTCAAACCTGTCATTATTACCGGCAGATCAGTATAAAAGAGGCCATTAAATTAAGTGGATACTGTATATACACTTTATATATAAGGATCTACATTTGTGTCCACCATAACTATCCACTAAGCTGGTATGCTGAGTGGCAGTGGCAGCCAGTGGCAGCCTACCACTGGCTGTCACTCCCTCCCTCCCTCACCTCACCTGACTCGCCACCATTTTCCTCCCACCATACTGTTTTTGCTTTTATTCACTATATACAGACGTTATATATAAGTATCTGAATATTTTATTCACCATAGCGAACAACTAAGCTGGTATAGTGAGTCCAGACAGTAAAAGGTGGTCACACAGAATCAACAGACAACGCTACTTTCTTCCCCACCAAGATTACTCTTCCCACTACAGCGCTAATTATTACAGCAATCCGGCTAGTATCAGAATCCTGGTCATTTTTATCACAGTCAGGGGTCTTCTGTAATACTATCATCGCTACATAATAGCATGTACTGTACATATATATTATGGCATTTTTTGGCGATGCTGTGGTCACAAGCTGAACAGCAGTGCTGTGAACTCATGCTGTGTGTGTCAGCCTTGATGGTTCACTCAGTACTGAGGCCCTCACACCCAGGAATGCTTTAACCCTCAAACCGCGCATATCATATATAAATGATATCAGTGACAAAACCGAAACTGCGCACATCATTTATATATGATTTCGTGTCTAGCGCTATAATTTAAACATCCCGCCTGGGATAGGAGCAGCTAGAGTACAGCCACGACCGATAGTTGCCAGATGCCACCTAGAAAAAAAATCCAGGCCAACATTCTTGGGTGTTACAGCGTCAGTATTGAGCAAGCCACCAAGGCTGGCGCACGCAGCACGAGCTCACAGCACCGCTGTTCAGCTTGTGACCACAGCATCGCCTACAAATACCATAATATATATGATACTGCTATTATTTAGCAGTGATAGTATTACTGAAGCCCCCTGACTGTGATAAAACTGACCAGGATTCTGATAATAGCAGGATTGTGGTGATATTTAGCGCTGTGCTCCATGGAGGGAGGCGTAAGGCTGTGCAAGGGAGGGTTGTGGCGTCGTCTTCTGACTGTGTGTGGCCACCATTTATTGACTGCACTCACCATACCAGCTTAGTGGTTCGATATGGTGAACACAAATGTAGATACTTATATATAACATGTGTATAGTGTGTGATAACAGCGAGAGGAGTAGGTTGGGAGCCACCATTTTGGTGAGGGAAGAGCGTCGTCTGCACGTCTTGGCATGGTGTTTACTGATGGCCACTATGGTCTTTGGGCACCATACCAGCTTATTTGTTCAGGTATGGTGAATAAAACAGGTAGATACTTATATATAATATGTGTGTATATAGCGTAATAACACCACAAACAATATTGTTGAAGGACAAATATTAGTGCGTCTGGCCTTGAGGGCGGCCGCCGATCAGCTGACTGTGTGAGTTGCTACGTCTTTGTGGCCTTTACTCACCATACAAGCTTAGATGTACAGTTATGGTGAACAAAACATGTAAATACGTATATATAACGTCTGTGTATAGTGAATAAATACAGAAAGAGTATTGTAGGAGGTGAATGAGGGTGAGTGAGGTGGTGTTGAGGGAGGGAGTGGCAGTGAGTGGCTCGCTGGTGTTTGGCGGTCACTCCTTGTTGCTTTTTGACTCACAAGACCAACTTAGTAGTTCGTTATGGTGTACAAAACATGCAAATACTTATATATAACCTGTGTATATAGTGTAACAACAGCAAAACTATATGTTTATTGTTTTATGAACATAATAATTGAATCACTAATATGCACACCATAATTTTGAGTACAGCGATGGTTCACGCATTTTATAATATAAGTATACCACAATTCACTGTATGGAATAATATTACTGCAAAAAACTAAGAAAAAATCAGAGACATTGAAATAATTAGGTAATAATATATTTGTGGCAACTGCCGTCTGACAGCTCGGGCGGAGTAGACCTCATCTGGCGAAAGCTCTGCCAACGCCCCTTTTTTGCCACACTTCCCTACCCTATTGCGGCTAAAATATGCCACCTACGATTTTTTTGTTATTTTTTCCGTGATCAGGGAACAAAAATGAACACTTCTATGAGACGAAAGAATTTTTTGGAATTTTTTTTGTTGTTGCGCCTGTGGGTGTGAATTCCATTTGGGCCCCTAGCAAAGTTTGAGGGTTAAATATTGACCAAATTTTAATTCAATAAAAGGATACTCATGTCAACTTTTTTTTTTTATATATCAAGGTAAACAATCCAGGGCTCACTAAAATCACTAACCTGATGCACAATGTTACATGGTTCAATTCCATCACAAATTTTGCAAAAGATGCACTTTTCCCGCTTCTCTATCTGGGACGCTTGCAGAGCTTCTGCTGCATGTGAAGATTCTGTATCAGTGCTCATGTTTCTTGCACAGAACTGAAACATTACCTTATCTGAGTTAAATATTCATTAATACAGTGTGTTCTCCCCTTAAACAAACTTTATGAGGCGAGGCGCAATTCGTTCCACCACAGAATTCGTTCTACCTGTCAGCCCCAGGCTATCCCTCCCCTAGATGTGAAAAGAACAAGAGGTCCTACATCCACCATAACAACAACAAAATCATAGAACATCTATGTTATATATTTATCATTTTGAACATGACACATGATAGAACAAACATTGGTGAACAATTCCATATCACAACTACGTGACTTTTTATTGGTGGCCACAAATATGACGCAATGGCCAGGATTTCCATAAGTCAACTGTATAGTCTCGACATAAATATTCAGAAAAAATCCATTCATTATGAATACTTCATATTCACTACAGTATTTGATAAAGCAACCACTTTTTTTAGTATAAAAATGCTACATATATTAACATTATTGAATCCAAGCAAGTAAAATCACAGAATTTTCTCAACAAACTGACGAGAAGAGGGGGCAATTAGTGGGCCGCCAATGGTTTAGGGATGGGTTGGGGGGTTGGGCTCTTTGGTGGATCGTGTGGAGGTGATGGTGTTGCGAGTTGTAAGTGGGAAAGGGGAAGTGGCAGCCAGACTGGCAGACCTCGGGCCAGATCAGTCCCATGTAAGAGAGACCCTTGTGATGTGTATAACCCAGGCGAGAGACATAGAAACAACAGTGTTAAATGTTGAAAAACAGCCTGGAACTTTACAAGACATAAATGAACTATTGGGAGATATAAATGTGTACAAAACATTACTGGAACTAGGTGGCTGAACACAGATGTGCTAGCTGTCTCGTTCACTTGGTTTTGGGAAGGGTTGGAGAACAGTCTAGTCATCGTTCGTGTGATGTGTGGCTGTTTCCCACAATACCGATAAGTGCATTTGTATCTTATACGTGCTATAGCGGTGCTTAGTCTCAGTATTAGTTAGGGATAGGCAGTTTTAAAACTAAGGTTATTTATGGAGCCCGGTGTGTAGGTGGTGTTTTGTATTTTGATTCATTCATTCAGCTTTCTGTAACATGAGGTCTTACCACATCAACTTTGTCCCCTATTTGTAAAGTGTTTCAGTGTCAGAACCTTGTTTTGTTAAAACCCATACCACCTTTGTAATTACCAAGGAAGGGTAGAGTATTGTGGTAACCTCAAGTCCCAGTTGGTGTGGATCCTAGTCTATTCCCTCCTAATATTTATGTTTACTGATAAGTATCCCTCTGTATCTCAGCAATCCTACTACGTAACAGTGTGCCCCCATATTTAGTCAGTGTAAAATAATCCTGTGTTGTTCAATAAAACCCTGTTGTGAAATTGTACCTCAAGGTGTATTTCTTGTCCTATGTAGAATAAGGTTTCTTGCTTTCGATTTGTGCTTTTGTCAAATATATCTAGACATCCCTCCCAGTGTTTGAGAACACTATGGGGGGACACTGTTACATACTATGACTTGAAATAATGAGGGGATACTTATCAGCAAACATAAATATTAGGAGTGAGTAGACTATAGGATCCACACCAACTGGGACTTGAGGTTGCCACAATACTCTACCCTTTCTTGGTAAATGAGTGTGTTTTGAGCATTGTGCATGAGGATGAGGCATATAGATAAAACATGTGATCCAGGATTATTGGAACAAATGCAGATTATTGGAACAAATGCAGCCTTGTTTCAACATCCCTTGTCCAACAGGTACAGGTCATGTGATAGGTTCCTGCTGCTTCTCAGGTGCCTGCACTTTGAGAACAATGATAATAAAGACAGATATGACAGACTGTGGAAAGTGCGGAAGATATTTAGTTAATTGAGAGGAAAGTTCCGTGACTATTTTGTACCAGCACAGAATGTTGTGACTGATGAATCGTTAGTTCTTTTTAACCCTTTAACTGCACAACACGCCTGCAGGCCCACATCTGGGGTGTGCTACGAGCCTCCAGGTATTTGTATTTTTCACGTTCCATTCAAAACTCCCGTGGCTACATGGGGTTCACCACCACTTCCTCAAGGCTCTTGTAAACAGATGTTATCTTGAAAAAAAATCGTGGTCCACATTCCCTGGTGTGAGAGCCTCAGTAGAGAGTGAGTAACCAAGGCTGGCGCTCGCAGCATGAGCGCACAGCACTGCTGTTCAGCGTGTGACCACAGCATCGCCTAATAATGTTAAAATATATATATAATTTGTATCATTTAGCCATGATAGTATTCTAGAAGAGCCTGAGTGTGATAATGACTGGGTACAATGTTCAAATATCAGTGATGCAATGCTGTTACGATGTTCACAGCGCTAGCCACAGCATCACAGCATTATTTCATCCATCTAGTAATCTTCAAATGACTTCTTAGGTTCCTTTTCAAAATAAACTTGTGGTCAATTATTCATTTACAAGAATTAGTGACCAGAATTGTGGTTATAATTAGTATTGTGGAAGGAGGAATTCTGGTGAGGAAGGGAGAGAATTGAGGTAGCCTCACCGTGTGTAGCAGCCACTCTTGTTTTGCTCACCATACTAGCTTCGTGGTTTGCTACCGGGAACACATACGTACATGGGTATATACAGTATGTGTGTGTGTATATAGTGTAATAACAGCATCAGGAGTATGTTGAGAGGAGCTATTTTGGTGAGGGAGGTGATGTCGTAATCGTAGCGTCGTCTGCTGTCTGCTGTGTGATTTCTCATGTAGTGTATGGTGGCCGCTGTACTGTTTGGACACAATACCGGCTTACTTGCATAGTTCTGGTAAATAAAACATGTAGATAGGTATATATAACATGTGTAAATCTATATAAATAAAAATGGAAATGTTTGTGTGTTCAAAATCGCTAATCTCCGAAAGTTTGGTGATGTCGTAATCGTAGCGTCGTCTGCTGTCTGCTGTGTGATTTCTCATGTAGTGTATGGTGGCCGCTGTACTGTTTGGACACAATACCGGCTTACTTGCATAGTTCTGGTAAATAAAACATGTAGATAGGTATATATAACATGTGTAAATCTATATAAATAAAAATGGAAATGTTTGTGTGTTCAAAATCGCTAATCTCCGAAAGTTCTTCACCGATTGCTTTGAAATTTTCACACAACGTTCCATTCGGATTCAAGCAGGTTTTGATATACATACAATTTAGATGTCACGTCTGTGACGGGAAAAAACATGCTTTTTTGAAAAAAACGTGTTTTTCGTGTGTTTTTTCATGTGAGGGAAATCTTTGAAACCTTTTTACCGATTGCTTTGAAATTTTGACACAATGTTGCATTCGAATAGACAAGTGTTTTTTTTTTTATATACCTACTATATACATGCCTCACCTGTGACAGGAAAAAACATGATTTTTTTTTAAATCAGCACCATCTGAAGGACGCAAGAGCAACACATGCTGTAAACTCTGAAAGTTCTTCTCAGATTGCTTTGAAATTTTGTCACAACGTTCCATTTGAATACATGCATGTTTTTATATACAGTACCTACTATATAGATGCCACACTCATGACAGGTAGAAACATGCGTTTTTGGAAAAACAGCGCCATCTGTTGCATGTAAGAGCAACACACGCTATTTAAAATACGTTACAATTTCACTTCAATGTTTCTGATTGCATTGATAAATTGATTTTTCATAGACTTTGATTTATTTTCATTTTGATTGAATTATTTTGTGTGACATTACCTTGGAATTGAGCTGCGGTTTACCATAGTGTTCATTTCGTGAGTATAGTTTATTTGTTTCTTTTTTAATTTTTCTTATTTTTCAGTGCAATTGGTGGTGAAATTGAGCTGTGTCGATTGATCTACTTTTGAATTGAAATATTTTGTTAGTATTTTTTGGTTTGGTTTTGAAAACAAGAAATTGGAAAATACGTTTATCTCACAGCTGCAAATCTGCAACAAACAGCTGTGAATCCACCAGCTACAACGGTTACTGCTTTCTTCATGTTATGTCAAAAAGACGCATTTGCAAAAAGACTGCTGTATTCAGAAGTGCCTACCTATTACATGTGGAATGCCAGTAGAAAATCATTTGAATGACGCAAACGAGGAAAGCGAATCGACAGACAACCTTGCATATTCAAATAAACTACGATAGGCAGACATCCCAATCAAGATGAATGCTTCATCCTTCGCATGCTGTTGGTAAATGTGCCTGGATCAACGTCTTCCAGCAATTGAGATTTGTCAACGGCGTTACACATGCCACTTTCCGTAGTGCATGTCAACCTCTAAAAATTGGAGAACGACTGACACTAGGATGTATGCATATTGCATATCAATATGCATACAATATACAACACTAGGATTGTATGCATATCATATTGACCACTGGCTCTCCTTCATCTCCAACAAAGTTATAGAAGAAATTTAAATTGCACATGGCTGAAGATATTGTACATCAAATATGCAAGAAAAATTCAAATTTGAACATGGATTTCACAGTAGAAATCTACAACGAAGCGTTGATACTGATTGAAGATTTGTGCTTAGAAATCGCGAACAAAGTTCTCAATCAATTGGAAATGCCATTACCGAATCGATTTGCTGCTGCTTCGTTCAATATAGAATTGCGTCGTGAACAAGGTTACAACACGGGTGATCTGTGGTCCTATGTGCAGTCAAATATTCCTAATCTAACGCTTAAGTGAAAAGGCATTTACAATCAAATAATTCTAACTGTCAATAACGGGCTTGAGAAATTTTCTTAGATACACCAGGAAGAACTGGCAAAACCTTTCTAATTAGATTGATTCTGGCAGCATTTCGATCCCAAAATGACATAGCCTTAGCTCTTGCATCGTCCGGAATAGCTGCGACATTGCTATACAGGGTACAGTGGAAGAACTGCTACCTCAGCTTTGAAATTGCCATTGAACATACAATTCATTGAAACTCCCAAGTGCAACATTTCCAAAGCATTCAGCACACGAACATTACAATATTATTCAGCATAACATTCAAAGCGAGGCAGTCACATACAA